AGAAGTTCCTCATTCCTCGGCGAATTGGGACACTTTTGTTCCCCAGTGACAGTTCTAATACAGATGGAAGTGCCAGTGAAGATGAGTTTCACTGGCCATAATCTCGGTAATAGTGAGGAAAACCCAGACGACCCTCAGCCTTCCACCTCTGGTGCTGGGCCGTCTTGTTCACGTTCAGTTGTACCAGAATCAAAGCGGAAACTCTTATTTTCCCAAATCCCAGACTCAAATGTGAGCATTTGTGATGATAGTGATAGTGATTATGAACTACAAGCTCTTGAAAACAGTTCCAGTAGTGATAGTGAAGTGCAGTATTCCCCAGTGAAGCGTCAGTATATACGATGATATATGCGCTCTGGTAGTGTGCCATATGCTATTCCAAGGGGAAGGAGTACATCTCGGAGTACATCCCGTGGCTCTACAACAGGAACAGACAGTGAAAATGACGATGATACTGTTGCAATTGGGATGGAAAATGTGCATGGTGGTGGTAGTGGTGGTGACGGCCGTGAGGCACCAGCAGTGGGCCATGCTGCCACCCACACTGCCACCCACGCTGCCACCCACGCCGCTGCCTCAGCTGATCTACAACAAAGGCCACCATCCCCCGCCCACCCACCACACCAGCCTCCACAACCACAACCTTCACAACCACAACCTCCACAACCACAACCTCCACAACCACAATCACCTGTCATTGTCCAGTACCCACCAGCAGACAGCACCTGGGAATGGCAGGAAGCTGTCAATTTTGTTCCAAATGCCCACTAGTTTGATGACAGCCAAAGTGGAATACGGCCATCTTGTACACTTGGGAACAATGCCACTGAACTGGAATGTTTCGAGTTATTCTTTGACGAACCCCTGATCGAAAGTATTGTCATGGAAAGCAACACATACTACGAGTACACCATGGCAAACACAATACTTTCACCAAAATCACGTCTACACCAGTGGAAGGAGGCAACTGTGGCTGAGATGTATCTTTTCTTTGCCACAATAATGCTTATGCCACATGTGTATAAGGACAAAGTGAAATCATACTGGCCAACAGACTGCCTGATTGCAACTCCAGGTTTCAGTGATATAATGCCAGTGAATCGATTTGTGCTACTGTTATGTATGCTTCACTTCTCAGACAAAACCAGACCTGACAGAAATGACTGGTTATATAAGATTAGGAATGTGTTTGTGTATCTGAAAGAGAAATTCAATATGTATTTTTATCCCTTCAAGAAGCTTGTAATTGACGAGTCTTTGATTCTGTTCAAAGGAAGACTCTCTTTCAAGCAGTACATACCAAGCAAGAGGAAACGCTTTGGTATAAAGTTGTTTGTGCTTTGTGATTGTTACAGTGGTCTGGTATTGGATATTAGTGTGTACACTGGAAGTTATACATTGCAAAATACCAGGAAGTTATTGAGCATCTCTGGTGATGTGGTTAGAACAATGATAGAACCATATCTTGGTAAGGGGCATATATTATATACTGATAACTGGTACACAAGCTCCTCAGTGATTTTTTTGTGAGTGAATATGACAGATGTGTGTGGAACAGTGCGTATAAATCGGAAACATATGCCCAGTTTGACGCTGGCACTCGTAGAGGTGAGGTGCAGGCGTTTGCTGCCAGTGACATCATGGCATTTCGGTGGCATGACAAACGAGATGTCACACTGTTGTCATCAGTTCACCCTAATGAAATGGCAGACACTGGCAGGCAGCATAGAGAGAGCAATGAACCCATTCTAAAACCAGCATCTGTGATTGATTACACCTTCAATATGCATTCAGTGGACAAATGTGACATGCAGATTGTGTTTGCTGATTGTGTTTGCAAGAGTTATAAGTGGTACATAAAACTCTTTTCCATCTTCTGGACATATCCATGCTCAATGCTTATAATATGTATAAGATGAGGACCAGAAACAAACCACAATATGGCAAATTCTGTTTGTCTGTCATCAGACAAATAGTATTCAAGTACCAAGGAAGAACACCTGCAATAGACCGCCCACCAAATTAACAACTACCTTCTTGTCTGAAGCATGGTGATCACTTCCTGGTAAAACTGCCTGCTACTGCTTTCAAGAAAAAGGCTCGTCTGTGCACGTACAAAAAAACGCCCGCAACAACGCAGAGACACTCGTTTTATGTGTGAGAAGTGTAAAACACCACTGTGCATGACAACATGTTTCAAAGACTTCCACAGGCTGCAGAACTTCTAGAAACATTCCCTGTGACTGTATATGTGTATATAAAATATAGAAAAATAGTAATAAACAACATTTCATATCGTTTGTTTGTGTGAATATTTTTTATAAACAAAACAATGACAACAGTGTTTATGCCCTTATTGTGTAGTATTGAAAAAGAAAAAACTTACAAAATACTGATCATTTTGGTCTCACAGGCCATAAAAGTTACTTGGAAAAAGAAAAATTAAAAAATAATAGAAATTAGTACATAAGAAAGTAAAAGAATACCGGGAGACGGCAGTCGGCATTGTTGCCACATTGTCCCCCTTTTTCATCAACTTCACACCTCCATATCTCGGTAAGTATTGATGGTAAAAAATTTTTGTTTAGCCTATAATAATTAAAAAAAACTATTTTTTTCATAAGAAAAAATAATTTTTTTTTTTTTTTTTTTGAAATTTGGCCGACCCTGAGAACGAGTCTCTGAGAGGACCTGTCAACCCTCAAAGGGTTAAAAAAGATGCCAATTTCAAAATACATCCAGAATAAACAATGTAGAAATTCTTGGCACTAAAATAACGTATCCTCTGTTCATTAGTCACGTCTCTAGGCCCCTCTTATATTATTATTGCTTTCTATTTTGATCTTTTATTCATGTAAAAAAATACAAAATTTACTGTATGCAGACTACTGCATTCTTGTAAAAATGGTATAAATAATATCAGTGCACTAGTGAAAGAATATTAGACTCCCCAGTTGAAGTGTATTGGACGTGTGGTGTGATTTGCTTACTCCTGAACATTGGTAAAAATCGAACATTTCTGCTACTTTGAGCTCAATTTCAAGATTCTTTTCATCGTGAAAGTAATCAAAATCATCTCTATTTCTATAATATGTTTTTCATTTTATCACGTGAGACCATGAAAACGAGAATACTACGATAAATACTATACGAAGATACACCTCAAAGTCGGCGTTTTAATCCAAAAAAACGGTCAGTTTTTTTTTTTCTCATTACACACTGCATGCTGCAGAATTTCTTTTATGCGGTGCACTCTGACCACACAGACCCATTCTCTTACATGTGGGCCTACAAGCTTTCTCCTGCTTGATTTGAAGCCGCTAGAATTTACTATTAGGTGTTACTATTATCGAAATCTACGATTTGCGAATCAATTTTCGCCATAAGAAATAATGTAAATACAATTAATCCATTCCTGACACCCAGAAGTATTAAAACAAAAAATTTTTTTACATGAAATATAGATGTAGTACATAAACAATACAATGGCACATGATGAATGAAACATTAGCAGCATATTGGCGATTCTTCTTAGTGTATGGAAGACTGGAGGAGGAGAGAGATTGGATTATTTACAGTTTGGAAGGGGAATCCCCTTCCATCAACACCTCAGGTACCAATTGCTTTTCTGGGGTTACTTCTCTTCTCTGTTTCTTAATGCCACTAGGACCACTTTGAGTGTTACTGGAGTCCTGTCTCGCAAAATAACTGTCCAGAGAGCTCTGTTTCTGGCGTCTCTGTAAAACTTCCCTAAAATGGGCCAAGACTCTATCACTGTACAAGTTGCCGATATGGCTTGCAACATCCTTCTCAGGGTGATGTTTCTCCATAAATCTTTCAATCCTACCCCACATTTCAAAAATCTCCTTAATTTCTGAAGAAGGCACCTTCTTCCATCTCTCTTCCTCCTCCTCTGCAGCAAGATTCTGAGCTGCGATCTGTTCCTGTTCCTTCTGAAGCTCTTGCAGCTCCTCAGCTGGCCAGTTTGGCTACACATATGCCACTTTCATATTGTTCAATGATATTTTTCTTAATTCAATCGATTTCTCACCTTCTTTACCAAAGGCTTGGTACTAGGAGCTTTCTTTGGAGCCATAGTAGCTTATTTAGCACTTGCAAGCACTAAAATGAATGGAATATTATGAAATATTTCGTATGAACAAGTGAGGGGACTGTCGCTCACTGTAAACAAAGGCACACTGGCTGGGAAGGGAGGCCGAGGCGGCTCAGAGCGTGAGTACGCGTCCCGTACGAAGGACGATTAGCGAGTAAACCGACCATTTGCGAGCCAATGTTTGGACGTGAATAACGCCATGATTTCCGAAAAGGACGACTGTCAAGCGGACAATTATTGAGGGACCACTGTAGTATACCTCCCTGGGTGGTTGCTGTCTACCAACCTACTACTACTAAACTCAGCTTATTGTACAGAATGTCACTTAATATTGTAAAAGATAGTGTTGAATATGAGAATTTATTTGATTAAAATTTAGCCCAATTAATTTTTCTTATTGGCATGTGGCAGTGTGTTAAAAAAAATATGTACATTTGTTGTCGTATTCATTAGAATTACTTTTATTCTGTGTATATCTTTAATGTCTTTGTGTACCGGTACATATACGTAAAATGTTCATTGTTATTTTAGTCTTAAGTTAGATTTTAAGCTTATCTGAAATGCTCTGCATAACTAGGAGCTTTCTATGTGCAATATTTAATGTTATCCATTTTTGTACAAATGATGTGTCATGTAGAAATAAAGAACTTGAATTTAAATTTAAATATATTCTTTTATTATGGACATAAGATAACATTATCTGCCTATATACCTCTTTGTTCTTTCTCTTAAAAACTAAATTCTGGTTTTTTTGAAGGCAGGACTTTTGATTTTGAATGGGGTATCACTAGTGTTTTAGTTATACTTCTTGATTTAAAAGGTACTACAATATGATTTTTTCACATGACATTTATGAAACTGTTTTTAATAGCATTATATTCTTCAGGGTGATGGACAGTTTAGCTGAGTGTGGTAACTGCAGCGACACCGAAGTTCAGCGACTTTTGGTAGAATGTGTTTCTACTCTTCTTACCTCTTTAGAAAAATTATCCCTTGGTTCCACACTTTCCCAGCAACATGTGCAGGTCATCAATACCATATATGCTAGACTTCAAGATGGAGACTATTCAGGTACACTTACAAATACTGCAATATTTTATATTCTTTTTTCTGTCTCATAAACATGCAAGATTTCAGGTACGTCTTGCTACTTCTACTTACACTTAGGTCACACTACATATGCATGTACAGTAGGGCCCCACTTTACGGTATTCTGCTAATATGGACATTTCAAATTATGACCAGAACTCGCTATATGGCTTCCCCCCCTGACTTTCTAATACGGTCACTGCAACCCACTCGGTTTGTTTACATTCTCCATGAGCACCACATCTCTCCACTATGTCTGGAAACTTTCCAAAATTTCAAGTGTTTAAAGTTATTTTGTGCTTTATATATACTCTGAAAGGGGGTAAGGCAGCCGGGATTGATGGGATAAAGATAGAAATGTTAAAAGCAGGTGGGGATATAGTTTGGGAGTGGTTGGTGCAATTATTTAATAAATGTACCTAGAGATTGGCAGAGAGCATGCATAGTTCCTCTGTATAAAGGTGAAGGGGACAAAAGAGAGTGCAAAAATTATAGGGGGATAAGTCTGTTGAGTATACCTGGAAAGTGTATGTAGAGTTATTATTGAAAGAATTAAGAGTAAGACGGAGAATAGGATAGCAGATGAACAAGTGGGGTTTAGGAAAGGTAGGGGGTGTGTGGACCAGGTGTTTACAGTGAAACATATAAGTGAACAGTATTTAGATAAGGCTAAAGAGGTCTTTGTGCATTTATGGATTTGAAAGGCGTATGACAGGTGATAGGGGGCAATGTGGCAGATGTTGCAGTGTATGGTGTAGGGTAGATTACTGAAAGCAGTGAAGAGTTTTTACGAGGATAGTGAGGCTCAAGTTAGAGTGTGTAGGAAAGAGGAAATTATTTCCCAGTAAAAGAGGCCTTAGACAAGGATGTTGATGTCACCGTGGTTGTTTAAAATATTTATAGATGGGTAAATAAGAGAAGTAAATGCGAGGGTCTTGGCAAGAGGCATGGAGTTTAAAGATAAAGAATCACACATAAAGTGGGAGTTGTCACAGTTGCTCTTTGCTGATGACACTGTGCTCTTGGGAGATTCTGAAGAGAAGTTGCAGAGATTGGTGGATGAATTTGGTAGGGTGTGCAAAAGAAGAAAATTAAAAGTGAATACAGGAAGGTAAGGTAATGAGGATAAAAGATTAGGTGATGAAAGATTGGATATCAGATTGGAGGGATAGAGTAGGGGGAGGTGAATGTATTCAGATATTTGGGATTTGGAACGTGTCAGCAGATGGGTCTATGAAAATGAGGTGAATCATAGATTGAGGGGGGGAAAAGGGGGAGTGGTGCACTAGGAGTCTGTGGAGACAAAGAACTTTGTCCTTGGAGGCAAAGAGGGGAATGTATTAGAGTATAGTTTTACAATGCTCTTATATGGGTGTGAAGCATGGGTGATGAATGTTGCAGCAAGGAGAAGGCTGGAGGCAGTGGAGATGTCATGTCTGAGGGCAATGTGTGGTGTGAATATAATGCAGAGAATTTGTAGTTTGGAATTTAGGAGGAGGTGCGGGATTACCAAAACTGTTGTCCAGAGGGCTGAGAAGGGTTGTTGAGGTGGTTCGGACATGTAGAGAGAATGGAGTGAAACAAATGACTTAAAGAGTGTATCAGTCTGTAGTGGAAGGAAGGCGGGTAGGGGTCGCCTAGGAAAGTTGGAGGGAGGGGTAAAGGGGGTTTTGTGTGCGAGGGCTTGGACTTCCAGCAGGCATGCGTGAGCGTGTTGATAGGAGTAATGGAGACAAATGATTTTAATACTTGACGTGCTGTTGGAGTGTGAGCAAAGTAAAAATTATGAAGGGGTTCAGGGAAAACTGGCAGGCTGGACTTGAGTCCTGGAGATGGGAAGTACAGTGCCTGCACTCTGAAGGAGGGGTGTTAATGTTGCAGTTTAACCCTTTGACTGTTTACGACGTATAAATCCCTCTTACGAGCCAATGTTCTGACGTATATATACTCAATAATTCTAGCGGCTTCAAATCAAGTGGGGGAAAGCTGGAGGCCCACATGTGAGGGAAAAAGGGTCTGTGTGGTCAGTGTGCACCACATAAAAAAAATCCTGCAGCACACATTGCGTAATGAGAAAAAAAAAAACCCCTGATCGTTTTTTTGGAATAAAACGCCGACTTTGATGTGTATTTTCGTATAGTATTTATCGTTGTATTCGCGTTTTCATGGTCTTAGGTGATAAATGGAAACATATTACAGAAATAGAGATGATTATCATTTCTTTTTCGATGAAACGACCTGAAACTGAGCTCAAAGTAGCGGAATGTTCGATTTTTACCAATGTTCAAGAAAATAAAAACACACCACACGTCCAATACACATCAACTGGGGAGTCTAAAATTCTTTCACTAGTGCACTGATATTATTTTACCATTTTTACAATAATGCAGTCGTCTGCATACAGTAAATTTGTATTTTTTTGTATGAATAAAAATCAAAATAGAAAGCAATAATAATATAAAGGGGCCTAGAGATGTGACTAATGAACAGAGCATATGTTATTTTAGTGCCACGAATGTTACCTTTTTTATTCTGGACCTATTTTGAAATTGGGCATCTTTTTTTTTTTTGCGTGAAATTGGCCAAAATTGCCCAAATTTTTGACCACCATATTGGGTAGTCCAAATTAGTAAATAGGAGGTTTCTTGTACTCAGCTGATAGATAAAATGGAGTTCTAAAGAAATGCTATGAGTTTGGTTCAACTGGAACAATGGAATTGGCTGAAAATAGGGCTCAAAGTCGGCGAAATCGCCGATACGCATATGTCGCCGAGACCGCTAACTTCGCGGGAGCATAATTCCATGAGTTTTCGACCAAATTTCGAACTTTTGGTGTCATTACCATCGGGAAAAGATTCTCTATCATTTCATAGAAAAAATAATTTTTTTTTTTCAAAAATTGAGCGACATAGAATGACAGTTTCAGAGAGGGCCCTGAAACAGTCAAAGGGTTAAAAGCTGTAGCGTAAAGCACCCTTCTGGCAAGACAGTGATGGAGTGAATGATGGTGAAAGTTTTTCTTTTTCAGGCCACCCTGCCTTGGTTGGAATCGGCCAGTGTGGTAATTAAAAAAAATAATATACTCTGATAATTATACTTATGTGCACCTGTACCTAAATAAACTTACACATTGTGCTGGCATGCAGGTACACATTAAAATCACTGTGTCTTATTAGTCTTGAGAATGCCATATTAATAATGAGTCTCGACCCCTGCAACCACAAATAGGCGAGTGCTCTGAGGCACATTAACCCTTTGACTGTCGCAGGCCCCTTTCTGAAACTGTCATTCTATGTCACAAAATATTCGAAAAAAAAAATTATTTTTTTTATGAAAATGTTAAGATTATTTTTCTGAGTGTTTTAGTCCAAAAAAAAAATTTGCTATCAGTACTTACCGAGATATAGAGCTGTGAAGTTTGCAGAAAATGAGCCATGTATTTGAAGGTTTGTTGTTTTTTTCACTATTTTATTTTTTTCACATAACTTATGTGGCCTATGAGACCAAAGTAAGGTGCAATGTATATATATACACTCGTTGTATACAACACAATAAGCACACAAACATAATTATCAATATATTGTTTACAAAACTTGTTTACAAAAACAAACAATACAAAAAAAATTTCATTACTATTGTTCTATAAATATATATATACCAATGTACAGTCACTGAACATATTCCTAGAAGTTCTGCAGCTTGTGGAACTCTTTGAAACATGTTTTCATACACAATGTTGTTTTACACTCCTCACACATAAATCCAGTGTGTGTGTATTTTTGTGGAAGTTTTTTTTTTTGGGGCAAAGACAAAATACCTCGTCTGAGCAGTTTTCTTGAAACTGTTAGCAGGCAGTTGTGCTATGTAGTTATCCTAGGTAAATGGTTGTGTATCATCATTCCTTCCTTCCTACTTTCCTGCATTCCTTTCCTTCATTCCTTTCCTTCATTCCTTTCCTGCATTCCCTTCCTTCATTCCTTTCCTGCATTCCTTTCCTGCATTCCTTTCCTGCATACCTTTCCTTCATTCCTTTCCTTCATTCCTTTCCTGCATTCCTTGACAATTGCAAAGTTCTAAATGTTGGACAGGTAAATATCCATGCCACATATTCAAATTCAAATTCAAAGTTTATTCTCTATAAGGATTACAATGCTGAGTTTACAGAATTTCGTTATTGTGTGGTTTACATGTAGTAAAATAATAATTACAGAGTGTACCACTAGAACACCTAGCATGGCTAGGCATTTCGGGCAGACTTAAATCAAATTTCAAGTTTAAAATACAGTGGACCCCCGCATAACGATCACCTCCGAATGCGACCAATTATGTAAGTGTATTTATGTCAGTGCGTTTGTACGTGTATGTTTGGTGGTCTGAAATGGACTAACCTACTTCACAGTATTCCTTATGGGAACAAATTCGGTCAGTACTGGCACCTGAACATACTTCTGGAGTGAAAAAATATCCTTAACCGGGGGTCCACTGTATTACAAAATTATGAGGTAAGTTGGTATTATGGCTAAGTGACTTAATACTAGTTTGTGAGTTTAGCAATGTGAATGCTTTTGTTTTGGCACTATACATAGTTTCAGTTTTGGAGTATCACAGGCCAACTTATGACTAGTTAAGATTCATTATTTTGAAATTGAGATTGATATTTCTGTTTATGGTCAAATGGTTGAGTGAGTGTAAGTTTAACCACCAGGTGGTATTTCGTGTAATTATTGACAGGGTGTATCAGGGAGATAAGAGTTTTCTGATGGTAGTTTTAAAGGTGATGAATGTGTCTGCAGTTTTAGAATTTTCAGGTAGGGTGTTCCAGATTTTAGGGCTTTGACATACATTGAATTTTTGTAAGGTTTAGTCGGACACGGGGAATGTCATAGAGATGTTTGTGTCGGGTGTTGTGCCTGTGGTTCTGTCAAAACTATAAAGAAAGCATTTTAGTCAAGGTTAATTTTGGGAAAATTTAAGGTCCTGTA